TCGAAATCTTGGGTTAAGAGAACATTGGAGGATTTAATGTCTCTGTGTATGATCCTTCTCTGACAACCTTTGTGTAAATAATGAAGCCCTTTTGCTGTCCCAATTGCAATTTTATACCTTGTCTCCCACTCCAATGGTGCCTGATTCAAATCTAAATACACAATATATTAAAAACAGTCTTCAAAACAAAACAAAACAATTAGCGAAAAAAAAAAACACCAATTAGCATCATGAAAGCATCAAATCTTTAAGCAAAATTTGCAGAAACCATGTTCAAGAAAAGCATCAAATGTTCATAACTTTAAAGGTTGTGGGTTTGGTACCATGAAGGAGAGAAGCAACAGAGCCTCTGGAAGAGAAGATGAAAACAAGATAGAGACCATTGTCAATACAACAACCAAGAAGAGACAAGACATTAGGATGTGAGACATGTCCTATTGTTCCAATCTCCATTAGAAACTCTTTCTCTCTCCTCTCGTCTTCTCTCCCTCCTCTCGTTATCCTCTTCACAGCTATTTCTTCACCACTTTTACTCAAAACCCCTTTATACACCTCTGCAAATCCACCTCTTCCTACCAAGTTCTCTGCAAAGGAACAAAACCTTTATTAGTGAAAGAAAGACATCATAGAGAGAGAGAGAGAGAAATGAGAATCAAAGTTTCTTGAATTTGGAGACAGAACCTGAGCTGAAACCGTTGGTTGCCTCGTAGATTTCTTCAAAGGAGAAACATTTCCACTTGGGTCTTTGAAACTGCTCTGTTTCTTGAAAACTCTCGACGCATTTGGCGTGTGGAGTTGAGTTTTCAGAGTCGGAGTCGAAACTGCGGCGTTTGAAGGAGAAGAGACGTTTCAGGCTGTTGCTTCGAATGTACTTCATTGTTTTAATGGAACAGAAGGTACTCGAGGTTTTACGCAACTAATGAATCACAGAGGGAAGAAGGAGAAAGAAGAAGCGACAGAGAAGAGAGAGAGAGAGAGATGTTATTATCTGTCTGTTTTTTGTACTTTGTGAATAAAAACACAGAAGAATTAAATTTGGGTTGGTGAAGGTTTACGGTGAGGGCGTCCACAGATAATTAGGTAACCGAAAGCAGAGTTCTGCTGAGTTATGAATTTTTGCGTTTAGCGTTTGGTGATTTGCGATTTGGTGGTATGAAGTGTAGAAAAAGATGAAGCAACTTTGTGTGGGTGAGACTTTAATGCTTTTTTTTTCTCACAAGGCAGGTAGCTCTGCTGGAGGATGTCCATGTTCTCAGTTTTACTTTGTTCTTTTTTTCTCTCTTTTATTTTTTCTATAAACACTCTTTATATTGTAATAAGTCAAGCCTAACATAGTTTTCTTAATTAAGTGAAACTACTGTTAGGTAGTCCATATCTAAAGCTCTTCTGGCCTAACACTCGTCATTTATGTTAAGCACCCATCCTAAAGTATCACTACTAGAATTTCCTATATATTAATCCTGGAGCATTACAACATTTTCTGGTAGTCACGTGTCACAATGAAAATGATTTTCAGAACTTTAAAAAGAATATGTTGATCTAACTAAACATATGTTATATTTTTATTAAACTATCATATTTAATTAATAGTTTACAAAACAATATTTTATATTCTTTCCTTAAATAAAAGATACGGAATTACCTAATATGAATAACATATATATATATATCACAATTAATAATTATGAATAATAAATATTTAATAATAATTTTTTTCCTCTTCACTTTTTATTTAATTTTATATTATTAAAAGCAATTAAACAATCACATTAATCATATAATAAAAAATTAGATTTTTTCTTATATGTTATATTTTGAATTTTTTAAAACGATTATAATCTACTAAAAATTGTAAAAATCTCATATTGAAAATTTTGTGATCAATAGTAACGTTTTTTTAGTTTAGCCAATCGTTTTTAATGGGTCTTAAACAAATTTTATTGAATGACTAAATGAACCACGTACATAACAGAGTGTGTTTTGGTTTAAAAATTGTTGCATACCCAAAATCAATATGAACCATCATCCCTTTCGTGTAAAATTGTGTTACAATAAAAAATATAGGAATTGGCAAAAAAAACTGAATCCAAATAACTGAGCCAAATGTAACCCAAAAAGTAGTACATATCTTTAATCAAAATTGGTTAGTTATCTAAATGGATTCAAAATTTTTGTATCTCGAGAACCGAAACTGAATGGAAACATTTCGAGTATCCGAGTGTACTCGAACCAGATTTATATACTTAAATATATTAATAATTTTTTTAATTTAATATCTAAGAATATAAAAAATACATGAGATATTTTAAAATTTTCCAAAATACTTAGAAATATATAAAATAGTTAAATATTCATTTTTAAAATAGCTAAACGATATTCCAAATACCAAAAATACTTGAAATATTCATTGATTTTTTGTCTAAATATTTAAGATAAACCAATTTTTGTTAAGTTTAAGTATTTTGGCATTCATTTTTAAAATTTATATGTTATATATTATTTTTAATTTTAGATTTTTAGAAATTTAAAGTATATATGAACTTTAATTTAAATAAAATGGTTATCCGAACTGAATGTCCATCCCTAATCAAATATAAAAATATTATTGATAAGAAAATATGTATTTAAATACAACATCTTTTAAAAAAGTTCACTCCGCGCATGGTACAGATTATCATCTAGTTAGTCATTATTTAACTTCTATTTGTCTATGTGTGTGTATATATATATAAGTTTTGACTTATTTATTGTTTATTTTATGACATCAAAGGATTATAATTTGTGTTTAGCTGATAATCATTTTTTCTTGTATGCAATAAATGATAGATTTAATATTGTTTACCAACATTTCATTTCTTATAAATTGTAAATCCAAAAGTAAAACGCAAACAAACGAGCAAAAAAAAATGCATTTCCATTTTCTTCAAGTGAAAAATGATGGTTGTCTATGGACAAACATTTTCTAAATTGTAAGCAATTTTTTTTTTTATCAAAAACAAATTGTAAACAATACTTTGACATATAAACATGTATATTAAATACTCTAATGTAAGTCAAAAGCAAACAAACTAAAATGATAACAATTCCATTTTGCGCAAGTTAGAACAATAGTTGTATGAAAAAATAACAACATATGTTTTTTTATTATGTAAATAAAAATTCAACATATAAAAATATTTAACTTTTTGCTGTGTTTTGGACTACAAATTACTCCTATATTATAAAAAATTGGCTTCTCGTTTCACCTAAAGCAGAGTTGCTTATAAAAAAAAAGAAGAATCTTAACTATAATTTTAAAACTCAAAAAAAAAAAATTCAAAAGTTTATATAAATGAGGACTGGCTAGTTCAGATTTAACCATAGGTAGATCAAATCAAATTAATGAACAGAAGGTCAACCCTCTTGAGTCCATTTGAAGATTATAAAACTTTATTTTCTTTTGAAAATATAAAAATCTATTTCTTCAAATATGGTGTACCAGAAAAGCTTAAGATCATTCTTTAGTCAGTCATTTGCATTTGAGAGTGGAGTTTATTTATATTTCAATATTTTATTATCATAAATATCTATAATTACATAGATATATGAAAGAAATTTGGGTGATATTGCATTTCTAACCTTTTTGTCATGAGATTTTAGTTTAAAATACCAATATACGTTATTGATTTAACAACCAGAACAAGTGAAGAAGCAAAACATGTTCAATTCAACTGAATGTTTCATCTTCTTCTGATTGTCTCCTCTACTTCATTATTTGAGTGTCTAAAGTTCATTGGCTTGTGTGGATATTATATTAGTTGGCTTCTTAATTATTAAATAGCTTATATTACGGCCTCACATCAACGCCAAAACATCTAGAAGACGACGCATGGCCCTAACTTGGACAAGATTGATCTCTGTGAATGGAACAGTTACTTGATGCCAGCTGAGATAATGTTTAGTTTAAAAGGATGTTGATTAAATTGGTATATCAACAAACAAATCGACAAAAGTACATTATTAGTGATCGATAATGTTTAATTTAACTGATGAATCGTAGTTATTTTTCGAGATGTCTTATTCATAAGAATAAAAGTCAATGTATTTGATTTGAAAACTCAATATGAAACAAAAGTGATAAATCGATGATGATAGCAAGTAATTATTTATGTCTGTGAAGGGAACGTATGTTACTTAGGTTACTGAAATAATTTTCATGGAAGTAATTCTTAACCCTCATGACAAAATAAGTTATAAGATATATAGTTGGGCAAATCTCCAAAATAGCATCTTTCTAAGTTTATGTCACAAAAATAAGAGAAAAAATCTCAGATGTTCTTAATGAGGTAAAAAGTGATCTAATATATTCTCACAAAATCTGGAGTACTCTTATTTATTCTGATATTCTCAAGAGTGGTGGTTAATGTCAAAAATCCCCATGATTGATTTAATAAATACTTTAATGAATAATTCTCGAATATCTCTCTCCAAATTATTCTAAATTAATCGATATTCATCGAGCCGTCATCGAGGAGTTCTTCTTCTCGAGTATTAGCCGAGTCCAGTCTTCTCAGAACATTCCCTTGTTCTTCCTTGCATCTTATTGCGATCTCGTCGCTTGGATGCAATCATTGAGTTTTTGATTCTGTGTAACAGGGTATGACTCTCAAATCGTCACAGGGATTTCGATTAGATAGAAGATTTCATATTTGTGTATGAACTAATCGAGGAAGATCGGAAAGTTTGAATGGTCTACTTATTAAGGAATTCGATAATCAACAACCGTATAATTGAATGTCGGGAATCAAAGCTGTTTAAAATTTGGTTTTGAATTGAGAAGACTCGAGTCATTGTAACTGAAAATTTCTTATTCACTAATCGACGATCAGAAAGGAATGAAAGTGTGGATGGTCTGTTTATTACTCAATTGGATAATCAACAAATAATCAACAATTGTATGATTGAATGTCAGGAATGAAAGGACGATTCAATCAAAGAAGATTAGACGTTGGCCGATTACTAATTGACTACTGACACAACTGTGTGACATGGTGTAACGAAGTATAACTTTGATGGTATCATTGTATAACCAAGTATAACTTTAGGGGTTTAATTTTTTTTATATTGCAGACAATGAGTCCTTTTTCGATGAACATACACTTTGATTATGATGGACATTATTCGAAGGATGGAGATGATTATGAATGGATTCCAACCGATGCTCGTTTGTATGCTATATCTTTTAACACATTATCGTTGGAGGAGATCACTTATACATTGTTGAAGGAGAAGATATGCAGGAAGATGGGAATAGATCCGTTTATGAAGAGGCTCATTTTGGGTTACATCCCATTGGTAGTGGAACCTAAGAGGCAATCATATATTTTGGATGATGAAGATGTGTTTGTTTATCTAACATCAGTGGATAGAGAGCAAAGAAGAAGTATTTTGCATGTGGAAGACATCGAAGAATTGCAAATAGTTCAAATAACCGAGCAACTATCAAGGTCGTAGAGAGCTCTTGTAGTAGGAACTATTGTGATCGTGGGAGTGGATATGGAGAAGAAGAGAATGTGGGTACTGGTTTGGAACACGATGAACATCCCCACAAGAAACATAAGAAGAGTACGTTGTAAGCCTTTCGGTTGCAGTTTTGTTTTGGTGTTTTTATCTTATGGGAACGTTGTGAGGGAATTAATTTGTATTTGTGTGTTGTATAACTAAGTAAAACTTGGTTTCTTTACTGGTATAACTACAATGGAAAAAATGAGTAATAAGTCACTGAAGTACTAAGATGGTTATTTATTGTTAATGTTATGTTAATTATGGTTAATCTGAATTATTAAAATTCCATCTTATTGTTTGGTCATATAGGTAATAATTTGTATTTGTGTATTGTATAACTAAGTGAAACTTTTTGTTTTCGTTACTGGTATAACTACGATGGGAAAACTGAGTAATATGATTGTAAACTCTCAACTTCTTAATTTAATAAGTCACTGAAGTAATTATATGGTTATTTATCATATTAATGTTACATTAGTTATGATTTGATCAGAAATATTAAAATTACATCTAATTGCTTGGTCATATAGGAAATACACTGTGTTATCGTAGTCTTTTGGCAAAAACTGACCTCGTTAGATTTGAAAACTTCGTATGGCACGAAATCAAGTTTATGTGTATATGATCGTCTGAGAAATGAATCTAGGAAACATAATTTAATTGGTGTCACAAAAAAATCAGTGATTCAAGTAGAGTATAACCAAGATAAATAGAAATAATTGAAAAGTGCAACTTTGACGTTTTTCGTAAAACTGAAAACTTGGTGAAACTTACTACGAAAATTGCTGGGATAAATTTTCCTGCCCAGCTTTTCAAATTTCGAATTTTCGAATTTCCCTCTTCCCAATTTACTAAAACCCAAGATCGTTTAATCGAAATATTAAAGACATTTTTTGGGTTTCCCCCCATTTGTTATCTTCCATTTTATCTCTCTCAAATCATTCTCTCTCTCTCTGATTCCTCTCCTCGAACTCACAGAGAAATTGAGATGTCCACCACTTCATCTTCCACGACCGGTGGTCGGACACGAGTACGAACTCCGGGAATACCTATTAAGTGCTGGTGCAGGGTAGGAATCACCGAGCTCATCTCAAAAAGCAAACCAAACCCGTTTCACCGGTATTATCGGTGTCTCTATACGGCTTCACTAAGGGTATTATCCGTTTACCTTTTACTTACTCTCAAAAACTTACAAATTACGCTTTTGAATTACGCTTACTCATTTTGAAAATATCCATGTCGTAGCTTGGAACAATAATCACGTTTTCAAATGGGTTGATGAAGCTTTCACCAATGAGATACAACAGTTGGAATGCCAAGTTCGAATGCCCGAAGAAGAAGTTAAACTTCTCAAAGCAACAATAAGGAGTGAAGGTCCGATGACGAGTTCCAAGATACCTGGAGGTTGTGTTCTTCTTACAATCGTTTTATTTTTAGGAATTATGATGTACAATAAGTAATTCCTGGAAAACTTTTATGTTATTGTTATGTTTTTTCTAAGTTAAAAAACAATGTAACACCAACGCAATTCAACTGTCTTAAGTTTAGAAAGTTGAACAATTGATTAAGTGAAACTATAAAGTTGGAAAATAGAGAGACCGAAAATAGAACAATAGAGATAGTTTCACCAACATTAACAGATAGTTTTATCGACATTTAAACAAAGTTGAATCCAACATTAAAGATTTACACGAGACCTTCAACCCCATATTTCTGAACATAAGGTTCGCTGTTTAGTAGAGACTGCATGAATTCCTCAACCTCGGGCAAACGCGGATTGAACCTGAAGTCTGCAAATCCACCTTCGGTCTCAAGCCATATTTCAGGAGGACCAAAATAACGTGTATAAGTGATTTTAGTAAAAGTTCTACTCAACTATCACATTTAAAACTAGTCACAGAAACAACACTTACACATAAATTTCCCGACTCTCCACATCTTAAGGGCCATAATCACCTGTCTACGACCCCCACCACTCATGTAATCAAGACCATCCCGGAAGGCATAGGCCTGATCGCCGGTCACCACACATTTTATCTGATGGTCACTATTTAGAATAAAGAAAAAGTGCGTCAATTACAATATATATATATATATATATATATATATATATATAAATTTTGCTTGGATCATATGTTACTTTATACTCACATGTTGTCACTTATGTAAAACTCCATCCTTGGTCCTGAAGGGGCATCGAGATGGGAATCCATGTTGAAGACCACTCCCATTGTATCTAACATATAAGTGTTACTCAACTAAATCAGTTCTTTTCACTTAGTTTCACTTACATCTACAGAGTTATACAAAGTTCTGAAACCAAGATATGCGACTGTTGAGATTACCAACATACCTATGGGATATCTGAGGTCACGCCAGTGCATGCGAGGGATTTCATGGATGCTTTTGAAGTCCAAGAAAAGACGACTGTTCAGAGGTTCGATGATGCGACTTGCGTACATCGCGAAGCATTTAGTCTGAACGGAGAGCTAGTTGGCTGGAAACATTGGTACGTCCGTTCAACTTCTACCACAAAGATTTCCACCCATATTCCCTCTTCCTTCTCAAGGCCGCGAAAATTTGGATAATCCCCATCAGTGGTCATCTCCATCTTGTATCCCTACATAAATAAAGTACAAAGATCATGTTTATTACATGTTACAAGGATCAAGTTTTTATTTCTCACGGTTACATGTTTATTACACACTTGAGAGATGATGATATAACACTTACATCTTCATCTGCGAGGATATAGTTATAGTAAGGCCCATGGTTGGTAATCGCATAAGGGTAGATCATGTGTAGTTGCACTCTGAAACGGCAAGACCTGATCTTGGGGTTATAAGTAACCTCGAAAAGCTTATTGTACTCTGCCATCTTCTTTGTTGAGAGATGAGAGAAGAGATGGAGTATTCACAGAGATGAGAGAAGAGATGGAGTATTCGCAGGGATGAGAGAGGAGATGGAGTAACGGTGAGTGTTTAAATGCAGAATTCTTATAAATGCAAGAGATGTGGCATATAAATGATACTCGGAAGTGTAATGATTATTAAAAGAGACTTTTTCACAAGAGAAGTCGTGTTCTTTCGACAAGGCCTTTTCTCAAAATTAATATTATCCTTTTCATTTATTATCTCCTACACTGCTAGTTGCTATCATTAAATATATGAACTCTAAATATATTCACTAACTATTATCCATTTTGGAAACTGACCATCTTTTGAAAAATAAAACGATATAATATCAAAAATTTCGTTAAGTTTTGTATCGTTTCAAATTTTCATATAATCTAAATTGTTATGTTTTTCTTAGTTTCATAAATTTAGCCCGTGATCTCCCCGAGTTTCACTTACTTTTACATATTTATATATCTTAAATTTCAGGAGAGGCGACTGTTGCAGTCAGAAAGCGTGTGAGATAAGTTGGAGTAGTTATGCTTTCACGGGGAGAGAAATGGTTTAATCTCGGGGGAGTCTCGAGTCAACCAAGTAATAATACTCATCAAATCAACCTTAAATGGACACGCCACTCCTCAACTTCATTAAATTATAGGATTTATCTAAAATAATATTTAACATTTTCATTTATTATGTCCTATACTGCCAGGATTTGTCATTAAATATATCCACTAAGTATAATCAGTTTTGGACACTGATCATTTCTTGCAAAATATAACTAAAAATATATCTAAATTCTGAAGTTTTTTGTAGTTTCATAAATTTAGACAATCGAAATCACTTAGTTTCACTTACGTATGTATAGTTAGATATCTTAATAAATTATAGTTTTACAAAGTTTCAATTCCAAGAGATGCGATTGTTGATAGTCAAAAGGCGTGTGACAGAAGCCTCGAAGAGTCCATCAAATCACCTTTAAATAGACACGCTTCTGCTTGAATTTGGGTGAGCGGTCATTAAATTTCAAGGGTTTATCAATTCTACAATTACATGCAATTTCGAATCTCTACAATTTCCCTCATCTCTCTCACACAATAACATATTTATTTTATCAGAGTTAGACATGGAGAACTTGAAATTGGATTCTCTCCCTCCTTCAATGCTTCATAAGATTCTATCTAAGGTAGCAACGATGAATCTTCGGGATTCTGGTTATGCAAGGATTGCTTTTCGCGGGTTCAACGAAGTTGGAAGAGATGATTACTTCTACAGATCGGCCAATCTCATTTACCTGAATGACTGGGTAGACGAGGTCAGGGCTGTTCGAACATTCAGGCTTAAATGCTACCATTTGGGTAATCCAGAGGCCATATACTTGAGAGGTATGTATGAGTTCTTCATCCTCCATTTTCGTGATGAAGGAAGGGAAAAGTTCCATCTTGCTGGTGAGAGAGGATGCGAGATGGCCCAGTTTGTAGATGGAATGCTGAACTTAGCCTTTAGCGTTAATCGTAGGGGAATTGTTCACAACTACCCCGCCTTTACTCGTCTACATGTTGATAAGATATTTAAAACCATCTTTAGTTAACAACTCTTACGCTATCGGGATTACGTAAGACCTGCTGTGTTTCTATCTGTCCCTGAAAAGATAGATCCTAATGCGCCATTTGATTGCTGGTGCTCCCACATAGACCCTCCAGAGTTTGAAGTCTCCCAAAATGGATCAAGATTAAAGTGGAAATGCGATTCTTGTTTCTGGAATTGTGCAGGTTGGGATTTCTGCGACCAAATACAATTGAATGTTCAATCATGGCCAATTGAAGATTAGTTGTGTATTTATGATATAGAAGTTTTATCTACTTTTACTAAGTTGTTATGTAAATTACTCATCACGTTATGCTCTGTTATTTCTCTAGTTTTATCTATAAACATTATGTAATTACTCTAGTTATATCTATAAACTAATTTTTATTTATTTCAACTTCAATAAATATATCAATAACAACACATGTAGCCGAACAATAACGTAATAATAAATTGCAATCTAAATGTGGAGTACTCCTAAATGTGCGATTTAGTTCAATTTAGCATAACTTTGTAACTGAGACAATATTTATTTGTTTCAGGTTTTATTACGCTATGCAGTTACACCAAAGTTTACGATTACACTAAGTCTTACAAAGGTTTCAGAAGTTATGGAGAAATAGATCCGAATTTTATGGATCGGGTTTGGATGGTCCATGAAATGGCCCTGGTTGAGTTGTAATTATGTAAGTTTCTGTTGGGTCCGTGGTCTTTTGATAAATTTTTGAATTTAAATAAAGATATATTTAATTCCAAATCCGGGAAAATTCGGGCAGGAGTATCTCAGATCATTTTTTTTTCGGGCAGGAGCATCTGAGCGTTTGATTCCAAAAATAACCCTCAAAAACTAAAATGACCAAAATAGTATTTTATCTTTTGAAATTTTTTTTTTAAATTTTTTTTTCAAAAATTGAAATTTTATCTCCAAAACCCCACTCCCCAACTCTAAACCCTAAAACCTATATTCTAAACCCTAAATCCTATATTCTAAACCCTAAAACCCTAAACCCTAAACTCTAAATCTTAAACCCTAAATCCAACCCTTAACCCTCAAAAACTAAAATGACCAAAAAATCATTTTATCTTTTGAAATTTTTTTAAAAAATTTTATTTTTCAAAAATTGAAGTTTTATCCCCAAAACCCCACCCCCAACTCTAAACCCTAAAACCTATATTCTAAACTCTAAACTCTAAATCCCACCCCTTAACTCTAAACTCTAATGTATAAATTAATTTATCATAATTTATCATTGGATATAGATGTATATTTATCTCTTTTGATAAAATATTAAGTGCTATTTTGGTCATTTGTTTCTTAAGTGCTATATTTGTGACAAAAACTTTTTAGTGCTATCCTAGTCATTTTTTCTGTATAGTTCTATACAAAATAGAAGTATCTAAATAATATTTCTAAACTAATATACAACTACAAATGCATTTTAGATTATCCTGAAATAAATACTCCATCTGTTTCAAAATAAAAATGTTGTTTTATAATTTTAATGCATAATTTATTAGTTTATCTATTTTTATATTTTTCTATTGGTTGAAATGTGTATGTATAGATAATTATGTTTTTATTTTGAAATTAAATGATTTCTTAATTTGTATACATAAACTTAAAATGAAAGGAAGAGAGTATTAGTTTCTTAAACTATGATATTCACAAACACTTAAATTAATTCTCAGTCAGTTTCAGACTCTTAATTGATCATCAAGCAAAAGAAAAATAGGGTTTTTAGTTATCTTTTATGAATAAAGATTTGAAGTGGAACTGATATATAGAGATGACAAGAAATCGAAATAAACATGTGATTATTTTCAGTTAAACTTCTACGGCCAAAACTCTTTCTAACAAATTCACATATATTAAAGAAAAAAAGATACCGTCGGTCGATGACCATACTATTAAATATCAGATTGAGGAGTACATCTGTTAGACTGTTTAATGTATACAAAGCCATCAGGAGGGCGACGTTTTACTTGTATTCACGAGCCCCAAGTCCCGCCAGTCTCCAATGCGAGACCACGATTCTTTTATATCAGACAGTGACAACAACCTTACATTTTAATGGTAGCTAAGCTTTTTCTTATTTCAAATTGATTTATACATAATATTTATTTGATGTCATTAAATATCATCCCAAACATCATAAAGACTTAATTAGCTATAGTATTAAACATTCTTAAAAATAAAATATTTTTTGTTTACTTTTCAGAAGTATCAAATGAAGTCCTAAAACAGTCTTTTTTAATTTTTAGAAAAGCTTAGGGGAAAATTTCAAGAAGTGTAAAAAATCTCTTCATCTCTGTTTGTAATGGCCATGGACATCCTGTCAAAAATGCTAGACAAGGCAGCAAGATCAGGACGGTTCACACCTCACCCTCTCTGCTTAGATCCTCTTATTAGTATTACACATCTCAGCTTTGCCGACGATCTCCTAATTTTCTTTGATGGCTCTGAATCATCCCTGGCTGCCATTTTGGAGATACTTAAAGAGTTCGAACTGATTTCCGGACTTGCTCTAAATCTGAGCAAACCACGTCTGTTCCTGGATGGGAATAATTTTGGAGATACAGGATCTCTTGCAACATCTTTTGGTCTGACTCATGGGTCACTTCCAGTTCGGTATCTTGGAGTTCCTCTGTCTCCTCAGAAGTTGAAGAAGCATGACAAGGTGGTTTCCAGAATTAAATCATGGTCTGTTCGTCATCTCTCGTTTGCAGGCAGATTACAACTTCTCCAATCTGTTTTTTATGGAATTATAAAATTTTGGTCTTCAGTCTTTCCCCTACCAAAAGGCTGTCTGGATCATTTAGAGGATACTGGTCTGGTGATACTGATTCCGCTAGAGGAGCAAAAATCGCGTGGGAATCGGTTTGTACACCGAAAAGATCAGGAGGTTTGGGACTGCGGCGTTTGCTGGGAACAAATCAAGTTTTTGGACTGAAATTAATTTGGCTCCTTTTCTCTACAGAAGGGTCTCTTTAGGTTGCTTGGGTAAAAAGAGACTTGATTGGAGATATGATATTCTGGATAGCTGATTTTCAAGATGTAGGGAGTTGGATTTGGAAACAACTCATGAAGCTCCGTACTTTAGCTAGGCCTTTTATAAAATGCTCTCTTCAGTCCGGAAATGAGGCTTACTTTTGGCATGATGATTGGAATGGCTTAGGATCCTTGCTGTCTATTGTAGGAGAGTCTGGACCTATAGTTTCATGCATTTCTCTGACTGCTAAAGTCTCAGATATATATGTCAACAACTCATGGAATTTATCATCAAGTAGGCATCCACTTTTGTCTCTTTTACGAGCATGCATTCCTGTGACAGACCTGAACCTTCACCCCCAAGATAAAGATGTATTTCAGTGGAAGACTGGCCCAACAAATACTTCTGAGATTTTCTCTGCTGCTAAAACTTGGAAAGCTCTAAATGAAAACAGAGACAGTGTGCCTTGGTATAAAATAGTGTGGTTCTCAGGACACATACAAAACACGCTTTTAATATGTGGGTTGCTTTCAGAGATCGTCTACCTACTCAAGACAGGCTTATTGGATGGGGATTGACAGTCTCTCCTCAATGTTTGCTGTGTCAGATCCAAGACGAGTCCAGGAGACATCTGTTTTCAATTGTTCATTTGCCTCTGAACTCTGGAATTCCATGTTTATCCAATCGGCTCTTAATCCTCCTACTGATCTAGATTCCATTAGGCAATGGATACACGCTTCTATCTCGGATCAGAAGCTTCGGGTGGTAGTTCTTCTTCTCTTTCAAGCAGCGGTTTACTTTATTTGGAAAGAAAGAAATGGTCGACTTCATCAGACTCTTCCTAAACCATCAACTGTCCTTAAATAACACTTTTAGTGAGAGCTAAGTTAGCTGCTTTGGACAAGAAGAAGAAATTATCTCTATTGATCGTGCAACCATCAAATCGCCCCACTCTCTTGTTGGAGAAATTTCAGAGAAAGGAAGCGATCTGGAAATATTACGTTTGATTGAGAAAGCTTAAAAGATAACAATTACAAAATACTGAAATATATAAAACAAAAGATAACTACCCATTATCCCATAATTAAAAACTAAATAATAAAATCCCTAATATTTAGAAAACATCTCACGTTAAACGAAACCACAAACCCAACACTTCCTAATTTCTGGATTGACTTTGAATCAATCAACATTCCCCCTTGATTCAAAGTTGCACACTGCAGACTTCTTGATTCTGCCATGAACTGATGGATTCTTGTTGTCACAGTAAATCTCTGTAGCTTCAACTTGTTCAAGACATAAATCAGTTAACAACTTCTTTGACCATAGAACTTGCCTTGTTGCTGCACTTTCTGCCACATACTCTGTTTCAGATGATGAAAGTGCCACGTTTTCTTGCTTCTTTGAACACCAACTAACAGCACCAGACCCAAAACCAAACCAATTTATCGAATTGATTTTCTTATCATCAAAACTTCCTGACTAGTTGTTGTATGTCCAACCGACAAACTTGATATTGAACAAGTTCGAGAACCACATACCATAATCATTTGTTGTGAGTGTCTTCACACAATCATACATGATGAACTTCTTCACCAAATCAACAACATACTTCTTCTAACACACAAAGATTCCATCTTCTCTTTGCTTCTTCTTTATGTAGAACTCCCATGTAGAATTCTTCATTGATTGCATCTCCTCTTTCATTGCAATTTGCCACTCAAATGACCTTCCTGCTTCTTCAAAATACAGAAGACCAGAAACATACATCTTTTCATCCTTCTTCAGGAACTTGAACCCGTTCATATCACCATAACAGAAATGCCACAGGATTGTCTCTGCATCGCTTTTAACCTGCGCAACCAAATCTCTATCTTGAACAGTTAACACGTCAAGACGAACATCACTTTTCTTTGACTCATCAATCTCCTTGAATAGTGACTTTGTTCCTTCCATGTGATTGGAACAACCACTATCCACATCAGACGCACTTGTGCAAGTCGAATATGTCATG